GCTCACTTTTGCTGGTCCGAGGGGTTCTGGATGATCGTTTTCTCGCCGTCGATCACGTGCTGCTTCAGCTGGTGTGACAGCATCCCTGTGGGCCAAACTGGGCTTACTGGGAGAGACTGGGACGGACTGGGAGGGGATTGGAGGGAACTGGGATGGACTGGGATTCACTGGGATATACTGGGATGGATTGTGAGTCGCTGGGATGAACTGGGACAGACTGGGGTTACTGGGATGGACTGGAATCTCTTTTTCTCAGCAATCCCCTTTCCCCTGGAATTCCTTTTTCACAAAAAATTCCTTTTTTTTCCAGAAATCCCTTTTTCCCTCACCTTCGATGGGCGTGCAGTGAAACGAATGCGCGATTTTGTTCCAGGCCTCCGTCACTTGTGTGTTCTGGGGAAAAAAACAGGGAAAAACACAAAAAACATGGAAAAAAATTTAGAAAAAGGGAAAACCCCCCAAAAACAGGAAAAAAATAGGACAAAAATGGGACAAAAACCTCAAAACATGGAAGAAAACCTTAAAAATACGGAAAAAAAAAAAACCCAAAACTTGGAAAAACCCCCAAAAAACAGGGGGAAAAACCCAAAAAAAGGAAAAATCCCAAAAACATGGGAACCCCCCAAAAATGGGAAAAACATGGAAAAAAACAAAAGAAGGAAAAGAACCCAAAACATGGACACCCCCCACAAACAGGAAAGAAAACCCAAAAAAACTGAAAAATCCCAAAAATCCCCCAAAAATCCCCCATCCCACCTGGTTTCCGGGTTTCACCAGGCGCAGGGCAGCCTCGGCGCACAGATGAGCTGCCTTGATGACGTCAGCTTTGCGACCAGAAACGGGGTTTTCCTGGAAAAAAACGGGACAATTTAAGGAATTTTATGGGATTTTGTGGAGTGTTATGGGCTTGGCCCAGTTTGGAATTTGTGGTATTTGAGGATCTGGTGCTGAGGTGGAAAAATCCTGTAATTTCTTTGTTAATCACCCCTAAATCTGATCCTAAAAAATTGCAGAGGATTTGCTGTCTGGGTGTTCCCAAATGGGAACAGGATTCCCAAAAATCCCAGAAGTATGGATTGGGGAAATTCCCACAAAATCCCAAAAACACAGATTGGGAAAATTCCCACAAAATTCCAGAAATAGAAAATATGGATTGGGAAGATCCCCATAAAATCCCAAAAATATGGATTGGGGAAAATTCCCACAAAATCCCAAAAAGCGGGATTGGGAAGATTCCCACAAAATCCCCGATGTCCCAGGGCGGTGCCACCCCAGATCCCGATGTCCCAGGGCGGTGCCACCCCGTCCCCGGTGCCGCACCCACCTTGGAGGCGCCGAGCACGAAGGTGTGCGCCACGTTGGCGATGAACCCGTCCACGTGCACGCCCAGGTCACTGCAAACGGGAAAATGGGAAAAACGGGAATTGGGGACGGATCCTGAAAATTGGGAATTGCGGCTGGATCCCAACATTCCAGAGGCGCCAAGAGCCACTTCGGGATCATGGCTAGGATTTTATCCCTTTTCCCCTGAGATACATTTTTCCCTGGAATCCATCCCTTTTTCCCAGAATCCCCTTTTTCTCTGGAATCCCTTTTCCACAAAAATCCCTTTTCCCCTAAGATCCCTTCTCCCCTGGGAATCCCCTTTTCCCAGGAATCCCCTATCTCCCCGAAATCTCTTTTTCCTACGAATCCCCTTTTTCCTTGAGTTTCCTTTTCCCCTTCTTCCAGGAATCTTTTTCCCTGTGACCCTTTTTCCCCCTTCCCCAGAAATCCCTTTTTTCCCTGAAATCCTTTGTCCCAGAAATCCCTTTTCCCAGAAATTCCCTCCTCCCAGGAGTCCTTTTTCCCAAAAATCCCTTGTTTCTCAGAAATCCCTTTTTCCTAGAAATCCCTTTTTCCTAAAAATCCCTTTTTCCTAAAAATCCCTCTTCCCTGGAATCCCTTTTTTTCCCAGAAATCCCCCCTTTTTTCCAGAAATCCCTTTCCCCAGAAATTCTTTTTCCTAAAAATCCCTCTTTTTTCCCAGAAATGCCCCCTTTTCCCTGGAAACCCTTTTCCCAGGAATCCCCCAGGAATTTAATCAGCGAAAAATTCACCCATCCAAGGTTCTGCAAGGGGTCCTCCCAGCCCCAAAAATTTCGGGATTTCTGGATTCTCAGGGAGCGGGAATTCTGGGAATTCTGTGATTTTTCACTCACATTTTGACCAAATCCCCGTCTTTTAGGATGTAATCCTGGTCGCTCTTGAGCGGGGAGAAGTGACAGACGCAGTTATTGACGGATATACTCGTCGGGAAGGCGATTCCTGGGGGAAAAAT